CTCAACCCCACTGCTTCTCTCCTTTCGGGAATGTCATTTCTTGAGCCGCACTCCATCGCGAGATGTGCTGTAATGGTCTATCCCAGGTCCAGGCAGAGAATCAGTGACCAGCTGACTCTTTGTATTGCAGGGATCCGACAGCAGAGATGATAAAAGTCGCTCCGGTTTTAGGCTCAAATATGTAGAAATGCAGAAACCAACCAGACCCACTGGCTGCTTCAAAAAGGGTCTCTGCAAAGTCTCTGCTTAGATAAATTCCGCTCCGGGGCGGGGCTCACGCCTGTAATCCCAGCACTTTGGGAGGCCGAGGCCGGTGGATCATGTGAGGTCAGTAGTTCAAGATCAGCCTAGCCAACATGGTGAAACCCCGTCTCTACTGAAAATACAAAAATTAGCAGGAAAATACAAAAATTAGCAGGCATTACATGCCTGTAATGGCAGCCACTTGGGAGGCTGAGGCATGAGAATCACTTGAGCCCGGAAGGTGGAGGTTGCAGTGAGCCAGAACTGTGCAACTGCACTCCAATCTGGGCGACAGACTGAGACTCTGTCTCAAACAAACAAACAAAAATAAATAAATAAAAGAAAAATAAATTCCGCTGTGTAAAGAACCCAAGGAGGACTACACAGTGTTTCCGCCCACCTCACACCCCCGTCCACTTCTGCCTCCTTTTTTTCCTTTATTAGCGCGGCACAGTAAGTAAATGTAAAAACCACAGGGCACAAAGACAGGACGCTGCATTTGCCAGAAATGGAATCCAGGTCTCCCATGTGGGAGGCGAGAATTCTACCACCGAACTGCCAATGCCTCCTGACCCGGAGCTCTGCAGCCTTGGAAACAGTTAAGACACAGACTTGTGGACAGGAGTCAAGATTTTCGCTGTTCTCTTTGGAAGATGTGACTAACAAAAAAGACCCCCAGAGCAAAGGCTTGTAGTGGAGATTTGCATCAGGCAACACCACAAAGTTATGGCTTCACATTAAAAGAGCTGACTTGAAAAAGCCTTATTCTGAGTAGGCTCTGTGCAACTGGATAACAAACCTCTGTAGGAATACATCAGAAATTCACCCAGCTTCTTGTCTCTAGTCCTGTATCCAGTGTGAACCTGTGGAAAGTTCTTGCCTCGCTTATTGATGTCTTCTCTTTGCCTCCCCCTTGCTTGGTGCCTCCCAAACCCTTTCCTCCCAACCTTGACACAAACATTAGTACTTTCCCCAAAAAAGCCTTCAGGATCCAGGAGTTTGAAAAGCTGAACTCTTGGGACTGTGCCTGGGATACTCCAGGAGACCAGGGTGATAATTGAACTTCCCTTCTCCTACACCTCTTTCGAGTTCCTGGAAAACGCCAGGGACCAGATCTTGCTTTTAACTTCTTATGCCTTACAGAGACCTAAACAAGAGCGAAGAAATGGACATTTCATGCCAAGATTTCTTCCCTTCACCTCACCCTGACCGGCCACCCAAGGAGGCCAGTTCAGGGAAAAACAGTTCCATTTGATTCTAGATTCTGGGATATTCCTCTAGCTAACATAAAGCATTCTTTTGCTATTTGCTTTTGTCAGACATTCATGTTTTTACTCTCATTCTTTTGTTTATAACGAGCGTGGTATAGATTTGCACCGCTCTTTTTGTTGTTGTTGTTTGTTTTCTTTCCTTTTTACATTTTTTGTTTCCAACTTTTATTGTAATTTCAGGGGTACATGGGCAGGATGTGCAGGTTTGTCTCTTAGGTAAACCTGTGCCATAGTGGTTTGCTGCACAGATCATCCCATCACCCAGGTACTAAGCCCAGCATCCATTAGCACTCTTCCTGATGCTCTCCCTGCTCCCAATCCCCACCCTCCAACAGGCTCCAGTGTGTGTTGTCCTCACCCCCCAACCCCATGTTTCCATGCATTCTGATATTCAGCTCTTACAATAAGTGAGAACACACGGTGTTAGGTTTTCTGTTTCTGCGTTAGCTTGCTAAAGATAATGTGCACTGCTTTTGACCCAGTGTGGTGGTTCACATCTGTAATCTCAGCACTTTCGGAGGTCAAGGCGGGTGGATCACGAGGTCAGGAGTTCGAGACCAGCCTGGCCAATATGGTGAAATCCTGTCTCTATTAAAAATACGAAAATTAGTTGGGCATGGTGGCATGTGCCTACATTCCCAGCTACTCGGGAGGCTGAGGCAGAAGGATCCCTTGAACCCAGGAGGTAGAGGTTGCAGTGAGCCGAGATCGGGTCACTGCACTCCAGCCTGGTGACAGAGCGAGACTCTGTCTCAAAATAATAATAATAATAATAATAATAATAATAATAATGTGCACTGCTTTGAATATTTAACCCTTTCCTGCCATTAAACCATTAGAGCTGGCATTTCCTTTTCTATCCAATCGGAGAGACTTAGATCCATTATAATTCAGAGTAATTAGTGTTACGTTGGAGATGATGGTCATAGTTAGTCTCATTCCCACCACCTGATTGTATGATTTCTGTGTTTCTGCTTTGTTTATAAAATCTCTTCCAGCGTTTGTTAACTAGACTGTTCTGTTTGGGTAAGTTTTTTGTTTTCCTGTAGTGTTTTTGAAATTCCATATCCCTGATTTGTTAATATATTCTCTTAGATCTCAGGTGCACAACAAGAAGGTAATCATGTACCTTAGCTCAGGGCACATTATGGTGGCTGCTCTCAGCAAGGCCCTTACTGTCTTTCCTTCTTTTTTCTGTTCATCCCACTCCCATTCCCCTGTCCACTTCTAGACACATGTTCTGAGGAGTTTAATATATGCTCTTTTATCCCACACTTT